CATCAGAGACTTGTGGCAATGTAAATTCTTTCAGTTTCTGAGGCGCCATGGTGACTGTTGATATGCTAATTCAAAGCACAAAGGATCATGCCAGATCCTAAAGGTCATAAATTGAAGGAGGAAAATGCTACATTATTAAAGCTTATAATCTCACCACTTGAAACATCACTAGCCCTGAAGCTGCTGGTAGACATCGCGGTTGGAATTATCAAAGGTTTTTGACACCTGAGAGACACCGTAGCAACTCCTTTGTGTTTGGAAGCGGGGGGTGGGGGTGGGGGGAGGACCAGGGAGGATGATTCAACCACTCAAACACTAGATGTCGCTGAAAACAACAAATCCTACACACTGTGCCTTTGATCTGAAAAGAGCTTCACTGAGTGAGAACTAATGTTGAGAGCTGAGAGCTCAGCAGACAGTTAAGTTTCACTTTCAGTTTCACCGGAGAGCCTGCTGCAGGAGTCATGGTCTGGGTGTGTGGGGAGGGGAGGAGGGTGGGGGCGCTCCGCCATGAGGAAGTTAAGCCTAAAGACACGTCCCAGGGGTGTTTCTGGTCCCCACCTGTCGTTTTGCTCCTCAGCATGGCTTCCTAAAAACACTGCAGGATTTCTCAAACATGCATGAATGAGTCAAAGCAAGGCTTTGGGCATGTTTTTTATGAGCATAACATTATAACATGATATAAAACTCAAAGTTGATTTTACATGATTTTTCCCCTTTAATGAAATATGATAAAAGACTAAAACTCCTCACATGTGGCTGTGAGGGGGGTAATCTGAAAGGGTTAACCCCRCCCGGGTGACTTAATAGGACATCTGGGCCTCCAGATGTGGGATGAGAATAGAGAACTCATCTGTTTCACTAGCCCCGCWCAGCCTTGTCCCATCCCGTCTCAACCCAACTGTGACAGCGCCGCTAATTGCCGAACCTCCGATCCCACACTGGCTGCTGACAGTCTTGTTAGCCTCCAATTTGCACTTTTAATTGAATCCGGCGTATCGGCGTCATCTGGCTCGTGCTAAGCATATCTGGCTGCTCGGGAGAACAAACAGCTTCGTTTAGGATCGGCTGAAATTTTGAAACAAACCAAAAAATTAAAAAAAGTGGCTACAACTCAATCAGCTTTATGGGTATAGAGCTAAAATTTGATGTGGTAGTAGCTGAGAGACATCCTTAAAAAAACGAGCGATTTGAATTACGTCAAGGTCTTTAAATGTTTTTGTCTTGAGAAGTGATGACTTGTGACGTTCAGAGGATCAAAACCTTTCCCCGTGTGTTAACAGGCTCCTGGAATACCTTCATAATCTGCTTCAAACAAGTTTCAAAATGTCCCCTAATCGCCGCAGATGCTGTTTGAAGTGTAATTCAGATTCGTGCCAGGTTACGTAAGAAGATTGATTTGTAAACATGGCGCCCGAAGTCCTGCCAAATGTGCCTTTCTCTTCTAACTATATTAAACCCAACATATGGCCGACAGAGAAAGCACAACAAAAATCCCACTGAGAAGGGAGATTTAGGCAGGCTCTCTGCGTGGTGGGGACGTGCWGCACGATTAAATGGCCACTAAACGCCTTTGTAATTGGAGATAATGGCTTTGGCATTTCAGTGTCGGATATACCGACTGTCCCAGCAAGTAGACATTTTTGGAAATTGGGGTAAAAAATTTAAAAAAAGACAACTCTTTAAAAGTGGTTGGGCTTAATTTTTTTTTTTTCAGTTTCTTAGAATCCAAACTTCTGTGCAAAATCACAGAAAATCTGTTGCTTGTAGACTCCCAACCTTTGAAGTGATGCTTAAAGTATAAAACATGGGAAAAAAGCATCAGATATCCATCTGAAATTATCATGTGATYCTTTGTATTTTAGCTCTGTAGTTAAGTGTACAAACCATACATTAACTTTTTTCCCTAATCAATACATGCATCGGAAACAAAAACATTTTCAAGTGACAATTAACATCTGAAGATAACACAGTTAGTTGGTTTTATAATAAATAGCTAAAATGTGGAAAAATATAGACCTGGCATCGCAAGAAACAATGTGTTTTCTGACAGATTTTACATTCAGAAAAAGGTTTTGCCTTACCATAAAACATGCAACACTAATTCTGCACAGTGGCTCAGTTGGTAGAGTTGATGCCTCTCTTGAACAGGGGTGGGCAATCCTGGTCCTCGAGGGCCACAGCCCTGCATGTTTTATTTTTTTCTCTGATCGAATACACCTGATTTGAATGAATGGGTGATTATCAGGCTTCTGCGGTACGGAGGACCAAAACTGACATAATTAAAAATAAAAGCGGAAATATATAAATT